GGCTGCCTCCTCACTTACCTGATCTGTAGGCTACCCCCCATCCCTCACTTTCATGACCTGTAGGCTGCCCCCCATGCCTCCCTTTCATGACATGTAGGCTGACCCCTATGCCTCACTTACCTGATCTGTAGGCTGCCCCCCTCATCTCTCACTTACCGTATCTGAAGGATGCCCCCCATGCCTCATTTACCTGATCTGTAGGCTGTCTCTGCAGTATAGGAGTTGCTGGCTGCACTCTATGCTGCTCCCCTGTGGTTTCAGTAAGGAGGGAGAAGCAGGGGTAAGATGTAGCTTCCTATCCCTGCCTCTCTCCACACACAGTTTCATCTACTGGCTGGCGCTGGTATTGCAGTGTATTCTCAATCTCAATAGAAAAATACCAGCACAAGCTGAAATATCCGAGGGGGGGCACAAGTGCCCCCCCATTCCGCCCCTGCGGTCACTCATGGTTAGAGTATACATGAGACAATACATTTGCAAGGCTACTTTGTTTTTATAGTTAAATCATTTTTTGAGAATAATGTTGCACGAAAAAAATCATGAAAGATCATTAATCTTAAAAAGTGAGTCATCGCCTTCAAAAGTAAAATTAAAAACATTCAGTTATATGGTTTGCAAAGCAATGTCTTCCACTGTAAAGAAGTTCAAAGTCACTAGAACAGTTGTCACCTTGGAAGAATTACATCTTAAAAACAATTGTGACGATCACGGTTATATACTAAAGTAAGAATTCTAACTGATTTCAAAAGGAATTTAAAATTTAAAGCCAAAGGAGCTGAACTGAAAACACATATGACTTAGAGAAATTTTCCAGTTTGGCTATTTTGAACTTAAAGGGACACTCCACTGTCTAAATACAACACAAATAAAGATTACTGTTTAGTAAATATACTCCAAATAAATACTTGGATTTATTTAATTATACATTTTTTTAAATTTAAGTTATATCTAAAACAGCTTGCAAAAACTTCAAATCTCTTGTCTTTTGCTTTTGCAAGCCCTTCCCTTCCAACCCCACCCAAACTTTATGTGACTGTTCAATCACAGACTTCCCAGTGCAGCTCAATGAGAAGTGTTTGCAAGGCAGGTATTCTAGACAATTGCTGCCTCTTGAGTTCAATGCAAATAACATTAGCTTTATAAGCATTCTTTGGTTAGTTGAAACATATAGAAATACTGTGTAACATGTTCTCCGCTTTCTCCTCTTCTTTATGTCATGACCATTGAGGTATTGGCAACCGAGATAAGAAATAACAACAAAATAAAAGGTTTTAAAGATCAAGTGGAAATTAAAATAAAGTTGTATCCTAACGATTAACTCATTGTGCTGGAAGATCCAGTAAATTCAATTAAGGAACTAATGGAGGTGATACAAAGATATAGCCGGTTTTCGAATTACAAACTAAATACCTCTAAAACAACGGCGCTCTCCTTTTTTTTTAACACCTCAAATGAAAGTAGAGATTATGGATAAATTTGATTTCCTTTGGGCAAATGAGCATTTTTCCTATTTAGGATTAAAAAGTTCAGCAAATCCGCAAAAATGGATGGAGATTAACTTGCTCCCCCTGATAAGGGAAATTAATATTAAGCTAAATACCTGGACAAAAATAGAAATATCATGGTGGGGCAAGATTAGCACCGTAAAATCATATGTCTTACCTAAATTAACATATATCTTGATCTTAATTCCAAACAATATTCCTCTAAGCTGTATCAACCTATTACAGTCTTCTTTTACAAAATTTATATGGTCAAAAAAAAGACCTAGAATTAGCGCATTAGACCTCCCCATAGGAAAGCATTGAAAGCATAGGGTGAGGACGTCCAGCAACGCTATAGCACAGAAAATCTGTGCTATAAACCAGGAAGTGCCCTTTAGTGGCTGTCTAGTAGACAGCCACTAGAGGAGGAGTTAACCCTGCAATGTAAATATTGCAGTTTATGAAAACTGCAATGTTTACAGTTGCAGGGTTAAGAGTAGTGGGAGCTGTGCTATAAACCAGGAAGTGCCCCTTAGTGGCTGTCTAGTAGACAGCCACTAGAGGAGGAGTTAACCCTGCAATGTAAATATTGCAGTTTATGAAAACTGCAATATTTACAGTTGCAGGGTTAAGAGTAGTGGGAGCTGGCACCCAGACCACTCCAATGGGCAGAAGTGGTCTGGGTGCCTGGAGTGTCCCTTCAAGCTATACAAACCTTTCAGGAGTCATCTCAAGAAGAAAGCTGGTACAAACTTGAAGTTGAGAAAACTGGCCCTTTTAAAAATATTTCTTCAATTTTCTGGTTATCTAACCAAGAAATTAGAAAATTCTACTTTGTGGTGGAAATATTTGCTTTAAATCATATATTGAAAAATTGGTTTGAAATAAGACAGAAATTAGATATGGAAGAAATTATTTTTCCATCTTTCAAAATTTAATTACTAAACGATTTATTACCTGATATTGATCTACTCTCATGGTCTGAAAAAGGTATTAATCCCGTTGAAGATGTAATTATATTAGGAAAATTTAGAACTTTCAGCAACTTAAAAATGACTTCAGGTTTCATGAACAAAGATTTTTTTTTATTATATGAAAGTAAGATCATATATAATGAAAAGTCTAAAACTATCTTATTTTGAGCAAATTATTAATGCAACGGACACTAAAAAACTAATTTCTAAAACAAATCTTTTGCTATATAAAATGGAAAATAAATATTTTCCAACAGCGATATCGAAATGGAGTAAAGATTTGGGTTTGCAAATCTCCCATAAAGAGTGGTGTAGATCAATCCAGTTTTTAAATAAAAATCTTCACTGTTTGAATCTGAATGAGCTACACTTTAATATCTTCAACAGATGGCATTTAGTTCCTAAAAAGATTAATACAATATTTCCTAACCATTCTTCTAAATGCTGGAAATGTGGGGTAAAGGAGGCAGATTATCTAGATATCTAATGGGAGTGTTCGATTATCAAAGAACTATTGCAGGATGTAGGAAGAAAGATAAATAAAATACTAAATAGCACAATATCTCTAAGACCAGACCTGATGCTTCTACATTTCAATATCCCCAGTATGGAAAAAAAAAGATTTGATATTGTTAATCCACATGTTGACAGCAGCTAAATTAACTATAGCTAGAAATTGGAAAAGCCCATCAAAACCTGACTGGTATTTAATGAAATATCAATTATGTTATCAACTAAATATGGAAAAACATATTCCGGCTCCTAACAATAAAATACTTCGATATACTGGTTTTTGGGATGAATCAATAAGAAAAATCAATATGCTATAATAAAACACCTTATACATCTAAGGGAAGTCTAGGAAAAATGCACAAAACTCTCCCTTCTCCTCCCCCATAATGACCATCGAGCATCAGCATACTCTGCATGCTGACTTCAGACATACAATTACTACTATTTTAGTCCAAATCCCATTGTGTCTGTAACAGAAAAAAAGAAAATAGTGACATTTTAAAAAAATGGCACAGTTTTTAAACATGGCAAAGTTGAAGTAGCATTTATGGAACAAAGTTTGATTTGGATTACCGTATATACTCAAATATAAGTTGACCCGAATATAAGTCGAGACCCCTAATTTTACCCCAAAAAACTGGGAAAACTCATTGACTAGAGTATAAGACTAGGGTTGGAAATGCAGCAGCTACTGGTAAATTTCTAAATAAAATTATATTCCCAAAAAATTATATTAATTGAATATTTATTTACAGTGTGTGTATCTAATGAATGCAGTGTGTGTGTGTGTATGAATGCAGTGTGTGTGTGTGTGTGTGTGTATATGAATGCAGTGTGTATGTGTATGAATGCATGTGTGTTTATGAGTGCAGTGTGTGTGTGTATGAGTGCAGTGTGTATGTGTATGAGTGCAGTGTGTGTATGAGTGCAGTGTGTGTATGAATGCAGTGTGTGTGTGTGTGTGATGCAGAATGTGTTGGTGTATGTGATGTAGAGCCTTGGTGGGGGGTGGGCATTTTTATTATTTTTTTTAATTATTATTATTATTTTAATATTTTATTTTTTTGGTATAGTATTAATATTTTATTTTAATTGTATTATTATTTTTTTAATATTATTATTTTATTATTATTAAAATTTTATTTATTTTTATTTGTCCCCCGTGATACATGGCAGGGAGGGGGCTCTCATTCCCTGGTGGTCCAGTGGATGGGCTGTGCAGGAGGGGGGCTGGCAGAGAGCTGTAACTTACCTTTCCTGCAGCTCCTGTCAGCTCCCTTCTCCTCCGGTCCGGTCCAGTAAGCTCCCCCTCTGCAAGTCTTTCGGTCTTAGTGTGGCAACGATCTGCCCCCGCGGCTCTCGCAAGACTTACAGGAGAGCTGACCAGACCGGAGGAGAGAGAAGAGAGCTGACAGAAGCTGCAGGAAAGGTAAGTTACAGCTCGCTGCCAGCCCCCAACAGGACCGCCGGGGTTGTAATGAGCCCGGTGGTCCTGGTCTGTATTATGGCAATGTAAGTTGCCATAATACAGACAGTGACTCGAGTATAAATCGAGTGGGGCTTTTTCAGCACAAAAAATGTGCTGAAAAACTCGACTTATACTCGAGTATATACGGTATATGATGTTGGTGCTTAAACTGTTCCTTTAATAACTTTCTAAATACGTATTTCTAATATATTAGACAAAGTAAATTTCTAATTTCAGGCCAAAATAACAAACTGAAAACAGACTTGACTTGGAGAATTATTCTAATTCTAGATTTTGAAATTTAAATTCACTTTTATTTCCCAGCAATTCTCACTTTAGTGAATAACCCTGATAATTCATTACAGGTTTATTCAAAGTGAATTTCAAAATGTTGCCACCATAACCAGATTAGAACAAATCTCCAAAGCAATTCTGTTTTTAGTTTGCTATTTTTGCCTTAAATTTGAAAATCACTTTGATTTCACAGAAAAACCCAGTATAAATTAAAACTGGTAGTGTCTTTGCTAAAAATTATTGTGAATCCTTCCAGTTGGCAATGCATTCTTTGAGTCAAGCCTGTCTAGTTCCTGTAACACATTTATAATGATAGGAAACATTGAAACGGAAACGTCTGTCAGAAGTGTTAGTAAAAACTATAAGAAAAAGTGATAATTAAAGTTTACATCTAATATCTATTTTCAGATAATATGACAAGCATGAGAAAAGTTGTGTTATTGTTTACATGGGTTGATACACTTATGTTAATGGTGTTGAGACAATAATATTGTTAACCCTTTTAAGGATGGTGAACGTTCGATGCCATCCTTGGGAACCCGGTTTTAAAAGCCGGCGGGTGGCAAAGAATGCCCAAGCCGTCCTATGTACTTACCCGGTCGCCAGCGATCCCACGCCTGTCAGCCCAGGGAGTCCCCCTCCTTCCTTTCCGGCCCCCCTGAGCCATGTGATCGCGAGGTCCTATCAACTTTCAATGGTACTTTCTGGGCCTATCATGGTGACCACGGGTAACGGGGAATCAGAATTCGATTCCGGAGAGGGAGCCTGAGAAAGGGCTACCACATCCAAGGAAGGCAGCAGGCGCGCAAATTAGCCACTCCCGACGCAGGAAGGTAGTGATGAAAAATAACAAAACAGACTCTTTCGAGGCCATGTAATTGGAATGAGTACACTTTAGATCCTTTAATGAGGATCTATTGGAGGGCAAGTCTGGTGCAGAGCGACTGACCTGTGCGTGCTGCAGCTGAAACTCCACTATCGCCTGTTGCTGCTCGCACAGTCTCTCCAGCATGTGCAAGGTGGAGTTCCACCTTGTGGGCACGTCCCATATGAGTCGGTGAGCGGGAAGGCCGAAGTTACGCTGCAGAGCAGACAGGCGAGCGGCAGCAGGGTGAGAACACCGAAAGCGCGCACAGACGGCCTGCAATTTCTGCAGCAGCTCTGATATATCTGGGTAGTTCTCTAGGAATTTCTGCACCACCAAATTCAGCACATGCGCCAGGCAAGGGATGTGCGTCAAACCAGCTAAGCCCAGAGCTGCTACGAGATTTCGGCCCTTATCGCACACCACCAGGCCGGGCTTGAGGCTCAGTGGCAACAACCACTCAGGGGGTTCTCTATTTCCCTGGGGGTCCAGTGGCTGCCGGTTGGGCTGTTGGGCTGGGCGGGCGGCTGGCGAGGGAGCTCTTCCTCTGAGCTGTCTGCTCAGCTCCCTCGCGCGCCGCAGAGTGAGGCTGGGAGCCGGAATATGACGTCATATTCCGGCTCCCAGCCTCACTGTGCAGCGCGCGAGGGAGCTGAGCAGACAGCTCAGGGGAAGACCTCCCTCGCCAGCCGCCCGCCCAGCCCATCAGCCCAACCGGCAGCCACTGGACCCCCAGGGAAATAGAGAACCCCCTGCCCCAGCATTCCCAGGAGACTGGGGGGGGTAAAAAAAAAATACATGTGTTAACGTGAGTGAGTGTGTGTGTCTGTTAGTGTGTGTGTCTGTTAGTGAGTGTGTGTGTGTCTGACTGTTAGTGTGAGTGTGTTTGCCTGTGAGTGTGTGTGTGTCAGTGAGTGTGTGTGTCTGCCAGTGAGTGTGTGTGTCAGTGAGTGTGTGTGTGTCTGCTAGTGAGTGAGTGTGTGTCTGTGTGTGTCAGTGAGTTTGTGTTTCTGTTAGCTAGTGTATGCGTATCTGTCAGTGAGTGTGTGTGTATTTAGAAGGCGGGGCGGGGGGAAGGGATGGGTGGGGGTCGCGCACGGGGAGGGGGTTGGGGGGCGCCTGAGTTTTGTCCTGCCTAGGGCAGCACAAAACCAGGATACACCACTGACAGCCAACGCCATACTAACACACAAACACACATTTTTTTTTTTAAATGTAATCCCCCCAGCCTCCTTACCTTTTGGAGTGCTGGGGGGATTCCCTGGGGTCCAGTTGTGCTGCTGGGCTCCTGGGTGGGTGGCCGGCCGGGCAGGCTGGCGCGTGAGTGAGCACTCAGTGCTTCCTCTTCAGCTCCCTCGCGCGCCGCGCAGGGATGCCGGAGCCGGAAGATGACGTCATCTTCTGGCTCCGGTATCAGTGCTGTGCGCGAGGGAGCTGAAGAGGAAGCACTGAGTGCTCCCTCGCGCGCCCGGCCACCCACCCGCCCGGGTCAGCAGGGCCAGCATCGGGGGGCCTGAGGTGGCTGGCTCCTGGGCCCCTCAGAGGAAGAGGCTGGCCCTGTGGCTACATACCGGTATACCCTGGTATGTACGCCACTGCTCTCAGATATGAAGTGCACGCCCCAAATTTACTTTTTAACACCAAAAAAACTTGAATTTTTGAAAATGCCATGTAACCACAGTATTTGACGTTTCTATTTCACTCTCAGATATGAAGTGCACGCTCCAAATTTACTTTTTAGCACCAAAAAAATTTAAATTAGTCAAACTGCAATGTCACAGCAATATTTGACGGTTCTATTTGACTCTCAGATATGAAGTGCACGCCCCAATTTTACTTTTTAGCACCAAAAAAAGTGAATTTGTCAAACTGCAATGTCACAGCAGTATTTAAAAATGCCTAGATGTTGCCCACTGAGCTAGCAGAACAGGATTAAAGTAATGTGCCTGGCACACATGCAGTTGCAAGTGCACACCTAACAAACAGACTGATTGCTTATTTCTCTGTGGCACTAAGCTCAGGGTAGGGGCCAAAAATGTAGTATAGCACCCACAAAAATAATCACTGTACTCTGCAGATTCAACACCAGAATTCTTTACTAACCTGTCCCTCACAGCTGCAGCATCCTCTCCCTACACTAATAAGATGGCTTCTAAGGGTACACGAGTCAAACGCTTGTTGATTGGCTGCCCTGCAGCTTTTCAAAACGCGCCATTAAATCGCCGAACACCGTACACGAACCCGAACTGTTACTGAAATGTCCGGGTTCTGGTTCGGGGTCCAAAAATCTTAATGTTTGGTACGAACCCGAACTTTACAGTTCGGGTTCGCTCAACTCTAGTGGAGACGCCTAGCTACAGGATAAAAAGGTGAGGATTTCTACATTTAGTGCTATTTTTTACCCCTCACAAATATATTTGTGTTAAACATACATAGATACAGTAAGCACAATATTAAAAATCCTGAGATGTGATAGTTAACCATTAATGCCTTTAGATTCAAATTTTGTTTTAACCCCTTAAGGACACATGACATGTGTGACATGTCATGATTCCCTTTTATTCCAGAAGTTTGGTCCTTAAGGGGTTAATGTGTGTATCTTTGTCTCTCCATTTCATTTGTCTCATTCTATAAAAAACAGATATAAAAAATAAACTGGATTTTGTTTGCACTACTTTGTAGTTTATTTTGTATACATACAGTCTAAGCAGCTCATATTTCTATAACACTGAAATATAATATACTATACATTTGTCTTGTTTCTTTTGATGATCTTATGTTTACACTTAAGTATCATCTGACAATGAACAGGGTGTGAAATATAGCTATTTTACTTGTTTAAACAGGTGCAATCATTCTCACAATTTAATTACTGGAAATATTTTCCAATATATAAAAGTACCACCTTTATTTCAAAGTATTTTGTCAAACATAACATAACAGTATAAAAGAGATTAAAACACCACGTTTTAAATATGTGCAAATCTATACATCTGCTAACAATTCAGCTTTCTCTACGGATAGGGAATTATTCATAAATTAAGCAAATAACTCTGTTGAGTTTTCTAGTACTCTTTAGATCAGAATCTACTAGCTATTTAAGAAAAATAAATAAATTAATTAATATATTTATATTATCAGACCCTTGGCTCACTCTGCTGAATACTTTCTACTACTTTAATTTATATATATATATATATATATATATATATATATATATATATATATATATATACACACACATTTGTGTACGGCACATTACAGGGACGTAGGGAAATGATACTAAAAGAAGCAGTATTAGTAATAGCAAGTAAGTTGAGGTGTGCCGAAACTGACGTGAGGTAAGCCTGTAAAAGAGGGTCCACCTAGGAGAAAAAGTTAATGAATTGAGGGTGCGGTGGGAGGTGCACTTCCGGGAACGTCGATGACAGGTAAGCTGGGCTTGTTGTGGTTTATAAAGGGGAAAAAAAATGTACCTCCCACAATTCCAGGCCAAGCCTTCTATATATATAAAAGGTGGAGTTTCCGAGCAATATTTCAACAGATATTCTGCAAAATAAAATATGCAAACAATAGTGCAATACAGTATTTAAAAGCTTGAAATGTAAAATAAAAGAGCAATATCTCTCACAAGCCCTCTACCCTCATATGACTCAAATGGTATGCCCCTTTGGACTATTATAAGATGTCCAGGTCCTTCTTTTCCAATGTGATATGTGCTTGCCTTTTCCCTCTTGGCCGGCTCCACAGTATACAAATGCCAGATGAGAGTTGTTTCTTTAGGAAAAAGGCGCTTTATTGATCTGAATACAATTTCAAATATAAAAATAATAATAAAATCTTACCAGATAAATATCTGGATAAGCTATATAGTTAATAACAGTGTCCAAACCACGTTTCGCCTTCTAAAATAGGCTTCCTCAGTTGGCTGTCGAGTAGTCCGTTCGATGTTCCTTGTTTTAAATATCGTCAATTAATGTTCAGGTGAGTTCCATTTCCGGGTTGTGTCTAGTGGAACTCAACGTGCATTCCAACGCTTCCGGATTGCGTCTATTGGAACGCAATGTGCCAACATTTCACTTCTGGGTATGACGTTGCCGATCGGCTTTTTAAGTCAATCCTGAAAACTTTATTGACATTTAGCAGTCTCATCATATATATGGAGCTTATATCCAAATTATAATTGGAATAAAGGTTTAATCACAAAAAGAATGAAAATTAATTCCCTAAAAGTTAAATTTGCAGTTTCATAAACTTATACAAGTCCTATACACAATAGTTGAAATATTTACAGAGGCATATATATGCTTCATATTTGAAAATAACATTCTACAAATGGATACATATTGCCAATGATATAAATTTGCACACATAAAAAATTGACAATTGTTAAAACAAATATCAAAAACTGATAATAAGATAATTGTAAAATTAATCCATAAAAATATCCTAAAATCAATTCTATTAAAACTCATGAAAACATTTAATTTCTTCCATCCCTATTTTTTTCATGTAATCTCCTCCCTCCAATCTTTTTTAACAAGTTTAATGGCACTAAAAAACATCCCTTCAGGGTTTTGGTTGTGAGCTATTTTAAAATGGTTTGAGACACTATATGTCTCTAATCCATTTTTTATATTTCTTGTAGCCCATGGAGCAGCGTAGCTAAGGGGAGTGGGCCTTGACATTGCCAGGAGACAGGCATCTAAGGGTCAGTGGTCATGGATTGGTCTAAGGAAATGGTGTGGGGTGGAGTTATAAGGGGAGTATAAGTAGCGGCCATTTTAGAACTAGGGACCACTTTAATCTAAGTTGCACATACCTGTTGTTGTGGCAGGATTTGTGTGGCTTTTTTCTTTTGTCTCCTCTGCAGGTTGTCAGCAGGATGGAAGATTGGCTGGAAGGAGTCCGGGCTGCTGTGCAGGAGAGGGGAGTCTAGTGGCTGAGGGATCGCTTGGGAGATTCTCTGCCATCCGGATTTGGAAGCTCCCAGGGTCAGAGGCCGGTCAGAAGGACGAGGCCCCCGCAGAGGTTGAGCCCCAGCGTGGTTCCAGGATCCTGGCGTCCGAGGAGCCTTTCTGGAGGTCCCAATGGCAGCGGGGAGAATGCCGGCGGAGAGGCCGCAAGTGGAGGAGGTCGAGGAAGGCGTTGCGGTGCAGCCGCGCGAACACGCTGTCAGGCGAGGCTGGAATTGCAGGCTGCTGGTTTGGGAACTGAATCCGAAACTGCCGAACATTCGGGAGATGAACGTGGAGGTAGGAGAACTGGCGAATGGGTGGAAACTGCCGAATGTTCGGGAGATGAACATGGAGGTAGGAGAACTGGCGAATGGGCGGAAACTGCCGAACGTTCGGGAGACGAACGTGGAGGTACTGATACTGCCGACCATTTGTTTCCTGAATGGGGAGGTGAGAAAACTGCCAAAAGTTCGGGATTTGAACGGGGAGGTAGCCATACTGCCGGCTGTTCGGCTGCCGAACGGGGAGGCAGGAAAACTGCAGAACATTCGGTTTCTGTGTCCTCTTTTGCAGGGAAGAAAGGAGAAGTGGCTGCTGGTGACAGGAGTCCCGGAAAGAGGCCATTACAGGCACGGGCCAGAGGAAGAAGGAGGAGCGGTACGGCAGGCTTGGCAGCAGGTCACGGGAATGCTCGAAGCGCTGTTGGTTGAGCGGGGACAGCTGCTGCACATCGCCCGGGTGAGTCGACCTCTGATGCCATTGCCCCTCCAGTTGCTGGGCCACAGGTTACCCTGGGGGTGGGCCCCAGTGTTGGCATGGTTGGTGACGGCAGAGTGGCAGGAGGCAGGCAGGGGGTGGCTAGGGCACAGAGTGGACCAGAAGGGTACAGTGCTACAAGATGCCACAGAGGGTCCCCAGTCAGCGGGCGAGAGCGCAGCGTTTCCCCAGGGTCTCCCATACAACCGGACGGGGGACGACATCAGGCGAGTCAGGTAAGGATCGGAAGGGAGCGCCAGCGAGGGACAACGCAGAAGGTCAGCACCCTCCAAGAGGATAGCGATCAAGGCTCGAGCAAAGGGCGCGCAAGGGTGCTAGGAGAAACCGGTTGCGAAGCATCCATAGGAGGGTGGCTGACATAGTCGACAGGGACCCCTGCGGGGTTGACCACACGCGGGGGAGGCATAGGGTTCCCACTGTCAGGACAAGGGGATGGACATGGCAGGATGACAGTTCCATGAGCGTGAGTTCCCCGGAGAGGAGGCGGGCTGCTGCGCAGGCTCAGGGCCCTCCGGGGCGGACGGCTAGTGGGGAGATTGGTGACAGTTCCCAGGACGAGAGGGGACAGGGCAGGGTTTCTACGGCCAGCCTATCCAGGATGTCCTCTCCTTACAGGTCTCGAAAACGGTCACCCTCTGGGAGGGAGAGATCCCACGCATCAAGGACAGCCGGACGGTCGCCGGCAGGCAAGGCGGACCCGGTTGCTGGACAGGTGTCTTCCAGATCCCCCACGGATTGGGTGAGACCCAGCACATCAGGAATACGGCCCGGAGCAGTGGAACGCTTGGGGCAGGACATCCACAGTCGGTCAGCAACCCCAGGGCCTTCGGCGGCAAGGGGTACGGAAGGTGAGACTTGGTCATTGCAACAATTGGGGGAGCTTTTAGATGACATCAGTCAGCTAATTGATTCTTGGGGTGTAGGGAGAAGGAGGGACGGTGATTGCAGTCAGGTTTGGGCCTGTGTGGGGGAGGTCACTGGGTCTGGTCCGGTGGTGGTTTCTGCGGCCGGGGGCAGCACGGTTGGGGATGGGGGTATGACCCCCTATGGTAGAGGTGCCTGGGCTGGCGAATGAGAGAGAGAATTTACTCGGGGGTGTCCTGGATGCCGCGCGGCAAAACGTACATGTTTCTTTCGCAGGCCCGTTGGGCTGTCATCTCAAGATGGAGGTAAAGGAGAGAATATGGAAAGGGGAGTTCGTGGAGCTCTTTTCGCTTCTCCCCCTTGAGGGGTTATTGTTGGCTATATAATGAAGGACAGTGCAAGTGGGGGGGCCACTTGTCGATTCAAGCATGAGTGCTCCGGGTGTGGAGGCACCCACGGACTTCACAGGTGCTTTAAAAAAGGTAAGTCAGCCACCGCAGCGGGGGTACCCGGAGGTTCGGCCGCCCCCCCTGCCACTGGGGGCCATGCCAGTGAAGGTCGGCGTGATGCTGCCGTGGCAAAGCCACTACGCTAACCGGGAAGATGTGGGGTTGCTCGAGGAGGGGTTCACTAACGGGTTCGTGATCCCGTTTCGGGAACGGGTGGTGGCTCATCGCTTTCGCAACCTGAAGTCGGCAGGGTAATTTCCGGGGGTGGTCAGGGAGAAGTTGCTTAAGGAGGTCCAGTTGGGCAGGGTGGCAGGGCCGTTCAGTGAGCCCCCTTTACCTAACTTGAGAGTATCACCGCTGGGGGTGGTACCCAAGAAGGAGCCCGGCAAGTACCGCCTGATACATGACCAAGGGGTCATCAGTTAACAACGACATTGACAAGGCCCTTTGTTCGGTGTCGTACGCTTCGTTCGACCAGGCAGTGAATCTGGTGCAATGAGCGGGCCGTGGGGTGTTGTTGGCAAAGGCGGATGTGGAGGCGGCTTTTTCGCCTTTTGCCAATTCACCCGAAGTGCCATCACTTACTGGGTTGTCACTTCGACGGGGAGTATTACATGGATCTCTGTTTGCCCATGGGGTGCTCTATATCATGCGCGTACTTCGAAAAATTTAGCACGTTTCTGGAATGGTTGGTGAAACTGGAAGCGGGCACTAAGATGGTAGTCCATTATCTGGATGATTTCCTATGTGTCGGGCCTCCTGGATCGGGGGAATGCCGCATGGGACTGAGGACATTGGAGTCCCCTTGGCAAGTGATAAAACGGTGGGGCCTACGACGTGCTTGAGTTTCTTGGGCTTGGAGATCGACTCGATCAAAGGGGAGTGTAGGCTGCCACAGGACAAATTGCTGGCACTCCGGCAGGCAGTGGCGGAGTTGCGGGGAGCTAAGGTTACGCTCCGGGCGCTTCAGTCTCTGCTGGGTCGGCTAAACTTCACCTGTCGGGTGATTCCAGTCGGAAATGGTTTTAACAGGTTCCTAACCAGGTCGACGGTGGGGGGGTGGGGGTGGTTCCTGCACCACCTTATTTGGGTCTACTTTTCGCGTCAATGGCGCGGGAACATGGCCAACGGCCTGGAAGGCCAGCCCGCTGATACGCAACTTGGCGTTCATGGAGTTGTTCCCGTTAGTCGTAGCGCTGTCACTATGGGGTCCACAGTTGAGGGATAAGAAGGTGGTATTCTTCTCGGACAATATGGCAGTGGTAGATGCAGTAAACCGGCTATCAGCGTCCTCTATCCCGGTGGTGCGGCTTCTTCGCCGTTTTGTCTTGTTCTGTATGCACTTTAATATTATTTTTCGGGCACGCCACGTGCCGGAACTGTTGAATGTTATTGCTGATGCGTTATCTCGTTCGCAGTGGGAGAGGTTCCAGTAGGTGGCACCTGGCGCACGGGAGGAAGTGATGTCTTGCCCGGACGAGATGTGGCGGCTCGGGACATCATGCCTGGCGGACTGATCAGGGACTCCCTGGCACCCGCCACCTGGACTACGTACAGTAAGGTGTGGGGGGAATGGGGCGAGCTGGTGCAACAGACAAGGGGTCAGCTCTCAAGGGAGGCCCGGCTGGACGCGCTGCTGTGGCTCTTGTGTAGGTTGGTCACCGCAGGGGCTTCCACAGTGGTAGTAGGGCATAAGCTGGCAGTGCTAGCCTTCTTGTTCAAGTTTAACGCCTGGGAGGATGCCACCAAACATTTTCTTATTAGGCAAGCACCGAGAGGTTTCAGGAGGGGTAAGGTGTCAGTGGATTCTAGGAGGCCGGTGTCATTTGCGTGTGCTGCCCGCGGTGTGTTTTTCAGGATACGAAGTTTCGCTGTTCTCCGTGGTTTTTAGTTTCGCCTTTTTTGGGGCATTTTGTGTCAGCGAGCTGGTCAGCAGCAATCGCCAAGGGACCAGGGGGCTTCAGGTGGGGGATGTGGAAGTGTGGAGTACCAAGGTAGTGATTAACCTGAGGCGGTCCAAAACGGATGTAATGGGGAAGGGAACGTTGGTTACGCTGTGGGAGCTCCCGGGTGGGAGAACGTGCCTGGTTAAGTGCGCAGCGGCCTTCCTGGAGGTAAGGGGGATGGCCGGGGGTTCATATTTTAAGCATGAGGACGGCTCTTCGCTATCGAAGTTCCAGTTCCTCAGGGTTTTTCGGAAGGCGTTGGAAAGGTTGGGAGTGGACCCGGGCCAATTCGGGACCCATTCCTCTAGGATTGGTGCGGCTACTGAAGCGGCTAGACTAGGCTTGAGTGATGATCGGGTGAAAAGGATTGGCAGGTGGGAGTTGCTGAGGTTCAGGTTTTACGTTAGGACAGACAAGTTGGTATAAGGATTAAGGGTGGTTAATGGGGAATTTTGGTTCGATGTTTGTTTTGTGGTTGTCTATGTTTGCTTTATGTTTTACAGGTCGGATGGCATGGGTGGTCGGCCACTCATACATATACTGGGTGCATCGGAGAGCTGCAGTTCGACATCGTGGTCTACAGCTGCGCTTTCCAAGTTCCGTGGTGCATCTTCGGTGGTTTGGTTACCGGGGTTGGGGCTGGAATGCTATCTGTGCTGAAATGTTTAACAAAATGATTCTAGAACAGGTTCCGGACGTAGTGGTGCTTCACGCAGGGGGCAATAATGTGGGGTAGTTACCTTAAAAGGTATTGATCGAGTGTATGAAGAGGAATGTGGACAAATTGAGAGAGTTAGTGCCAGGGGTTATGGTGGTATGGTCGGAAACGGTTCCGAGGTTTTACTGGCGGCACGCGCGGAATCCCTCCGCGGTGGCGAAGATTAAGGGAAAAGTTAATAAGGTGATGGCAGCGTATGTGAAGTGGTTGGGGGGGTTGTGGTTAGGCACAGGGAGTTGGAAGACATGCTTCCAGGTTATTATAGGCGCGATGGGGTCCATCTCTCCGACGTGGGCTTGGATTTTCTATTGTTGGGTTTCCAGGAGGGCCTCTAGAGGGCAATTTTTTTCCCAGTTGAGCTCTGAGTTGTGGCGGGGGATGGAGAGTAAAGTTGGGGGGAGAAAAGAGTGAGATGGGGAAAAAGTTTGGAGTTCAGGGCTAATAGCCTTTGGACTGGTTTGGTAGGTTGGAGCTTGTAGGTAGCTCTGAACCGGGGTGTGTAGGGGTGTCTCGGTATGCCCCTACACTTGTGGTGCTCTTTGGTGGCAATGGATGATGCCCTTTGGTGGCAATGGTCATGTTTCAATGTTAAGTTAAATGTTACAATGTTTGGGTATTATGTTATGTGGGGGTTGGTCATTGCCAAGGGGTTAAATTGTAAACTGCAGGATGGTAATTGTGCAGGCCAACGTTGGCCTGCTGTTGACAATGACCTTTATATTTTATGTTAAGTATCAAATAAAGCTGTGATATAATTTTGCCAAAACTATGGTGTCAGTGTTTTATTGGAAATGGGTATTTGGTGGGGTTTAAGTACATACCGACACGGCGACCGTGCATATGTCATGTGTGTTCTGATACCCTTGTATTCAGACATTGGAGTGTTCTGCCTACATATAAGAGGTTACATGGACATTTTAAAATATAAATTACCCCTTTGGAATAGCAAGTTAAGTGATCTTTAATTTAAAATTTTTGATTTATAATAGGGGTAATTTATATTTTAAAATGTCAATGTAACCTCCTATATGTAGGCAGAACAATCCGATGTCTGAATACAAGGGTAGCAGAACACACAAGAAATATAAAAAATGGATTAGAGACACATTTTAAAATAGTTCACAGCCAAACCCTGAAGGGATGTTTTTTAGTGCCATTAAACTCGTTAAAAAAAGATTGGAGGGGAGGAGATTACATGAAAAAAATAGGGGTGGATGAAATTAAATGTATTTTTAATTTTAA